CGGGCCCATGAGGTTTGACCGGTATCGGGGAATCAGCCGAGACTGGCAAACTGATTGGGGACTAAAAGATGCCCATTAAAAGAAATAGAAGAGGGATCGTCCACCGTGGCGCATCCTATTTCCCCCTTCTCAGGGAAGACTTGAACGGGGGGTGAGCTAAGGCCTTCCCGGGATAGTAAATATCAAAGGGCCATTAAAAAACTTAATCACCCGGAAGAGGGGGCCCTTGAAGAAGGGTGCATTTTGGGCCTTGGAGAGGGCCCGAAACCATCCGACATGGTTAATTCTCCAATGTTGATCTCGTCTGGCCAGCAGCATTATCTTATTGGAAGACTGAGACACAGGCCTGGCCTGGCACGCTGGTTACTACACCGGTCTTGCTCAGTATAATAAAGAAAATATGTGACCCAGTCGAACTGGTACACTGGTTTCACACCAGTCTTACACATATTTTCCAATAAGCCTGAGCCCAATCGAATTGGGTACACCGATTGCACATCGGTTTCAGCAAAAAAGTGAGCAAAGCTCATATCGGGGACGCCCGATTCATTTAAGCCCTCAATCTGAGGCACTTTGATCGAAGATCGTCTTCGCGAGACATGAAGATATTTACATCAGTCAGCCGGGCTAACACTGATCTTCAACAAAGCTACCGCGTCGGATTCAATTCTTATTAACTAAGGTCGTTGTCATTGGTATACTAATTTCGTCACGCATCGTTTGCTTAACTCGTATTAACACCGACCTTGACGAAATAACTGTTAGACAAGGCGTGTAACTCTAGAGGGGGGGTGAATAGAGTTGTTGAGAATGATTACCGATTTTCGCAGGATTAATAATATAAACGTAAGTGCAGCGGAAATAAAAGAGAGAAGGCAAAGAACACACCGATGTATACTGGTTCACCACCTCGTGGCTAGTCCAATTCCCCGAGAAACTCTCTCGAAGCTACCACTACTTTCGTTAAGCTTACGGGTGCTTAACAAACCGTTTACAACTCGAGAACTTGAATCCTACAAGCCTCGACACAACCGCTCGTAGATATGCCCTCTACAAGACTTCACAACCAAGACTTAAATCACATAAGCCTTGAACAACAAGAAGAACAATCTTCTTCAACCTCTCAGCAATAACTCTCACAAGAGTAGAAATGAGAAAAGATTAAGCTCTATGGATGACAAGAACACTCTCTTGAAAACACTTAGTTTTCTCTC